ATAAAGCAAATAAAGCAAATTGTCTGAAATAGAGAGGCTGCAACTTCACTACTCTTTCAAAAGTTAAGATTCTCAATTCTTGGCCATGAACATGCCCATCATGTAAGATAGGCACCACAGTCAGAGAAATCATACACTGCAGAAATGTTCTCTTATAAGGAAAATTGCTACCGGGAAACTTTCACCTCAATGCATGATTTTGAATGCTACTCAAATACAAATATTAAAAATAATAACGTAAAGGAAATCCAGCACCAGATTCAGAGAAATAATCCCCTAGGCCCCTGGGAAGGTTTTATAATCTATACAAGGTCTAGAACATTGTTTTCTTTTTAAAATATTTGCTGGTACTCAGAGAGGACATGAAGCTACCATTGACATCCATCTGACTGCTGTGCTAGTCTGGTAGAAAGCCACATCTCATCTCATGAGACAAAATAAAGACAAATCAACTGTAACTATTGTTCTTTGATTGTATTGTATTTCTACCCTGTTTTTATTGCCGTGTCCTCATTTTTCTTCCCTTTATTTTTTTTTCATATTTATACATTTATTTACTATTTTCTCCTCACAAGGTACCTTTCACATATGTTACCTCATTTTATTCTCAGGGGAAACAAGTATTATTGCCTTGGCTTTTTAAAAGTTCTAAGAAAACTGAGGCTTAAAGCATTAATTGACCTGTTAAAGATTTCAAAGTGGAGGAAAGAGAACTTAAATTTAATTTTTCTGATTGCACACTACCATCTCTCAGTGGACACGAGATTTTTTTTCTGTTAACCATTTTTCTTCCTTTCTCTTTTATTCTTCATTCCTTAATGCTGTAGCGCTGTGTGCTTATGCTCAATGACTAGTGTCAGCTCTGACTTCCTCCAGCCGGGAACCTGTCCTGGCGCACATGCCAAATCTCAGAGGAGGTGCCTCTCCTACATGCTCCCATAACACTTCTGCTTCCCAGTGAGAGGAGTCAAGCTTCATGGCTCCTTGAAAACAAGCTATTATGTCTCACTTATTCAACACCGTGATGCCTGCAATGTGCCGGAAATCCAATGGTGCTTCCTGCTCCAAAAAATAAAAACCCACCCCCAGAGAGAGCTTAGATGAGCACATAGAAGAGGCAGCACCTCTGGGACTCAGCATGAGCACCAGGAAAGGTCCCTGGTTAGTGGACATCTGAGTTGACACTAGAGGATAAATAAGAATTCTCCAGTTGGGGAAAAAAGAAGAAAGAATTACTCAGTTGAAGGGTAAAGGGGCTGGGAGGACTAAACCAGGTGGCAGGGGAGGAAAATAATGAAAACTAACCAAGTAGGAAAAACACAAATACTAAGATTTTAAGAAAGGAGGCCACCTGCCTATTCAGAACCACTCAGTAATCTAACGAGGTGGCAGTTCCTAAACCTCATCAATAGCAAATCATTTGATGACAGAAATGTTTTGCAAGGCCTAAATAAAAGAGGGCTCTAAAAACAATTCTTTCCATGGTTTGACAGTGGGAAAATTCAGATGGTCCTCAATCTGTTTGTAAAGCTACTGGAGAAGGAACGCTATCTCTCCCTCCAATACTACCATCCCTTCTACCCTAACCTGCCTCGAAAATGGCCTGAACAACACAATCCATCTCCCTCCAACACAAATCCTTTCTTTTATCATGAAGGTAAAGAGAAACTGGTTATAATAGGATTTTCCCATCAGCAATCTCTACCTGAAAACTGTTTCACTATTACATCATTTTAATACAAAATATTTCATACCAAGAGACAGAAATAGAAAATAGCAAACATCCATTCACCCACCATTCAGTTTTATGAAATCGTAACATTTTGTCATATTTAACTTCATGTCTTTCTGATTTTAATAAAACACTATGAACACACTTGGAAGCCTGATTTGTACCTCCTCCCTAATACCGTTTTCTGCCTCCTGGAAATAGACAGTAGCAGGAAGTTGATGTACTCTTTTTAAAAGGACAGGAATATAAAGAATATACAGGATTATTTAGTGGTTTCTTAAATATTACATTAACTATTCATTTTACAATACAGCAGTGGAGATGCTCCAATAAACCTTGCTAAAACAGGGCAGCAGAGGCTTAATGAATTAGAAAAAGAACCTTTGTAAATACAATTTGAACTCACACATAAGTAGGGAAATCTGGAGGTACAAAAAAATAGACATAAATTAATAGTAGGTGAACACTCAACTTCCAGCTGGGGGAATGATAACTGAGACTCATACATACAGCCAACACTGTGTATTTCATCCTATTTTTCTGTTATCTTTGTCAACACTTACAAATGTTAGGTATGTAGGTTTTCACATATGAAAAATGACAATCAATAACTCACAGTGGTTTTCATTTGCTTTTCCCTTGTTACTAATTAGGGTGAACATCTTTTCCTATGTTCATTAGTCATTCTAGTTACACCATTTGTCACCTTCACCAAATGTCTACCCATTTCTTAGGTTGATTTTTTGCTTGTTTATTTGGAGGCGTTCTTTATATATGCTGAATGCTTCTTTGACATACCACTATGCTCCTATTAGAATGTCTAAAATTAAAATGATTGACCAGGGGCACCTGGGTGACTCAGTCAATTATGTGTCTGACTCTTGATTTCGGTTCAAGTCATGGACTCAGGGTCATGAGATCAAGTCCTACCTCAGACTCCACACTGAGCATGGAGCCTGCTTAAGATTCTCTCTCCCAAGACATGTATCATATGATCTCACTGATATGAGGAATTCTTAATCGCAGGAATCAAACTGAGGGTTGTTGGAGTGGGGCGTGGGGTGGGAGGGATGGGGTGACTGGGTGATAGACACTGGGGAGGGTATGTGCTCTGGTAAGCGCTGCGAATTGTGCAAGACTGTTGAATCTCAGATCTGTACTTCTGAAACAAATAATGCAATATATGTTAAGAAAAAAAAAAAGAAGAAGAAGAAGAAGAAGCTAGCAGGAGGGGAAGAATGAAGCGGGGGAAATCGGAGGGGTAGACGAACCATGAGAGATGATGGACTCTGAAAACAAACAGGGTTCTAGAGGGGAAGGGGGTGGGAGGATGGGTTAGCCTGGTGGTGGGTATTGAGGAGGGCACATTCTGCATGGAGCACTGGGTGTTGTGCACAAACAATGAATCATGGAACACTTCATCTAAAACTAATGATGTAATGTGTGGGGATTAACATAAGAATAAAAAATTAAAAAAAAAAAAAGATTCTCTCTCCCTCTCCCTCTGCCCCTACTCACCTCTCTCTCTCTCCCTACAAAAAATAAATAAATAAAAATAAAATAAAATGATTGAACATACTAAGTGCTGTTGAAGACATAGAGCAACTGGAATTTTCATACACTATTGAAAGGAATGTAAAATGGCACAACCACATCAGCTAATAGTTCAGTGGCTTCCTAGAAAGTTAAAATACAACTACCATATGGTGTAGCCATTCCACTCTTAGGTATTTACCAAAGCAAAATAAAAGCATGTGTTCTTACAAGGACTTGTGCATGAATGTGCATAACTTTACTTGTAATAGTGAAACACTGGAAATGATCCAAATGTCTATCAATGGGTAGATGAATAAACAAATATGAATGTGTAGATGAATAAATAAACTATGGAATGGAATACCACTGAGCAATAAAAAGAAATGAACTACTGATATACACTACAATATGGATGGATCTTAAAATAATTATAGTAAGCCCCACCCCACCCCCAAAAATAGGGTACATATCATAGGATTCCATTTATAAAAATCTAGAAGGTATAAACTAATCAATAGTAACAAAAGGTAGATCACTGATGTCCTGGGATAAGGAACTGTAAGGAAGAGCAGGAAGGAGAGATTACCAAGGAACAGAAAGAAACTTTTTTGGGTGATAGATATGTTCATTATCTTGATTCTGCTGGTGGTTTCATAGGTGCATACATATGTCAAAACTCATAAAAGTGTGTACGTATGTTCAGTTTCCTGAATGTCAACTTAGCAGCTTGTACATTTTAAATATGTATCGCTTATTTTGTATCAATTATAACTCAATAAAGCTGTTCCTTAAAAAATTTTGTAAGAATAGTAGGAGAATAAAAAAGAATCCTAACCATGCTAGGCTTCTGTCTTCTAAACATCCTTTAAAAAATAGGTCACGATTGGAGCGCCTCGATGGCTCAGTCAGTTAAGCGTCTGCCTTCAGAACATATCACGATCCCAGGGTACCGGGATCGAACCCCACATCAGGCTCCTTGCTCGGCCGGGAGCCTGCTTCTCCCTCTCCCTCTGCCTGCCGCTTCCCCTGATTGTGCTCTCTCTCTCTCTGTCAGATAAGTAATTAAATCTTTAATAAATAAAATAAATTAAAAAATAAAATACAGGTCACAATTAAAAAAAAAAATCCCCTAACCTTCTCTTTATATGTTTCTAAAAATAAGCAAAATACTGTCTCAATAAATTAGAAATAGTGAAGGGGGTGGGGGGCATTACAGACAAAAAATTATCCTGGAGATATAAGGGAGAGTGAGTGACTAAAGTGAGAATCCAGGTCTTAAAAAGATTGTTCTGCCTCCAGGAAATTCACTGTTAATATGTTTGCTATTGATAACAGTAATCAGTATGCCAACATACAAAATCTTCCACTGGGCCAACTCACATGGTTGAGAATCTTGCCCCATCAATCCAAGTACTATATTAATGATAATGTAGTAATAAAATAATACTAATCAGCCAATAGACTTTCTCTCCACGATCCTAATCCATTATCATTCTTATCAAAGGTTGTAATCATTTTTCTTTCTCAAGCTAATTCCATTTTCATGTCCTCCTGCTCCTCAAGTGAAATGAACCAGCAAATCCATAAGTTCTACCTCACGGAGGATGAAAAACACTAAGCCACAACTTAGACTAAAAAAATCTAGGCACACCTAGACTTAATGACTTCAAGAAAGATGGTATTTGTTAAATATTTAATCCCCCAAAGAAAGACAAAGTCATTTGATACCTACCATCTCCAAAAATATGTGTCACAAGTTTGGTAAGTGTTTGCTTAAGGTCAAACTCGATGAGCTTCATGGCCTCCATGGTATGTGTCTCTTGTTTATAGGCAGAGCGAGAACTCTGTTCAAAGAGCTGTAGGCCTTCTCCATCCTTCATGCCAGCAAATAACTGTAAACCAAGAGAAATAACATGCATAAATAAAAATAGTATCCTGGCCAGCCTACATGAAAAAACATAGTGTGGGAATAAAATTCGTTAAGTCTTCTAGTCAATGAACATACTGAAAGTAACATTCATTTACTACTGACTTTGAACAAAGCACTGTGCTACATGTAATGGAGAGTCTTTAGGGAATTAAAAGACGCTGTTCTGATCTTTTCTCATCTCTTCATTTTACTTTGGCTTAACTTACAGCCATTTCCTCAAAAGAGACATTATCTTCAATGCTAGTGCAAATATCAGTGAATCAGGCTTTCAGACTCTAAAATTATATTCCTGACCATCCTACAGAGTCCTTACAGTGTGACCTGAGACTATGTAAGAAAGTATAATCCAAGAATTAAATTCTGTAAAGTTCATGAAGGCAGGAAGCATGTTGGACTTTGCTTAACCTTGTTATCTCCAAAGCCCAGGACAGGACCTGAAACATATTTTTGCCATTTACTATTGGAGTGAACTAGGACAAGTATTACGGTAAATAAGTTTCAGGTAATGATTTGTAAAGTAGATATAATAACACTAAATTAAGAGACTTTGTGATAATTAAATAAATATATGAAAAGCATAGCACATTGCAATGGCTAAATAATTTTGATTATCATCACAATCATTATTAATCACACCTGTTATTAGTCATGAGCTGTTTTACCACTAAAATAAAGTGTCCCCATCTTTAACAACAAAGTAGATCTTCACCTTCTAGGAGAGGACTCAAGATGGATAACTGAGCAAATGAATCTAACATTCTTTCCACCTAATGTCCAAAGAAATAAAATTTTTTAAATGTTTTAACAAAAAAAAGTCAACTGCTGTTTCCAGTAATATTGGGCTGAATAATTAGGACCTCATAAATCTACTAGAATATACAAAAATTCTTAAAAGCATAGAACTAACACAATAGAGAGGAATAACTTAAAACTGTACAAGAAAGCACAAAACCAGAAAGAAAAAAAAAAAGCCCAGCATAAGCCAGACAGGAACACTGAGAATATTTACATATCCAGTGTTATCAACTGAAAAGCTGAATGTTGGTTGTGACAGCTTACCATGGCAAATGAGGCTCAAGTGAAAGTCCACAGTGCCTGACCAAGTTGGGCTATCAAATAAATAGTCCTAAAGGACTTACCCCATGATAAGGATGAATACAATATTCTTGTACAGACTTGCAGTTAGGGGTCACATTACCTGGGCAAGAGATAGAACCTCAGGCTGTGAACATGGACTAAGGCAATCACAGACTGATAGCTCCTCTAAGTGCCCAGCAAATCAAACCAAAATCTTCTCAGAAAAAAATTCTGCCATCCTAGAACTCAAATTAGTCCTATGACAGCTGAAGACAATGCAGCTGCCAAAGTCTATGCCTTTCACCACCTATTCTAAAAGTAACTGAGAACAAAAAGAGCAAATAAAACTATTAAACACCATGCCCTCACATGAAACAGACAATGCCCACATTTTAAAATGATTGCTCGTAAAAAGGAAGGAAGGAAGGGAGGAAGGAAGTCAGGCAGGCAAGTTAAATAATTCCCAGAGAAAAGGAGCTATTATATTTGCATCCCACTTATTACCTTTGAGATAAGTCAGGGCAAGCTGAGAAAAATAGAGGGGAAGAGAGAAAAGGGGAACTAGTGAGGTATTAAAGTTGATCTAAAATCACCACTAGAAAGAGTAAGTGCCATAAGTGTGAAAGTACTACAAGTATTCTAGGAGATGTGACTAGGGACAAGGAAGGGACAGCATGACCAATTAAAAGTGACAGTCAGTCCTCAAAAGGCATAGTTACAAGGGAAGAGAAAAAGATGAAAATTACGAAAGACATCCTTTGGCAACTGGGTGGGGAGGAGTAAAAAAAAGCAAAAGAGAAAACTTAGAGTTCCATAAAATAAAGCAAACCTAAACACTTACAGGATTTATAAAATCATTCCCTTCCCCACCTCACCAAAAAAAATCCAAAAAACACAAAAAATTCCACTGAAAACTCTGCACTTTGCTGCACTAACAGAAGAGGGCACCAAGACAACCTACAAATCTCCTGAACAACCAAAAACCCACAAGAAGTAACAGAAGAAAATGAAATAAAGCTACAGAGAATTATTGCTGCCCCCCACAAAATCAGGAAACCATTCAATACAGTTGAACTGATGAAAATATAACCCTTTTCCCTTTTCCTCAAAAAGCAAGTCAAGAAGGTTAACATAATACTTCAAGACTAAATTAAATACACTAAAACAAGCATTTGGGGGCATAAATAATTGCTTGAGTCAGAAACTCAAAAATTAAGACAAAAATGTATGGAAAACAGGAAGAAATGAAAACAGAGTTGATTGAACTAAGGAAGGAAAGAGAAGAAATTTATCTCAGAATGGAAGTCTAAATTATGAAGTACACAGGAAAGAAAGGCCTCACTAAAGATTTAATCAGGGCATTGAAGAAAAGCAGGAAGACAACCAAGGTAAGAACAATGAGGTGAAGAAAGAAGAGTCAGAGAGAAAGTGGTGGAAACGGAAGCCATGCAAAGAAGGAATAACATGTATATAATTCCAAGTCCCTGAAAGAGGAGAAACAGAACACAAGAGCAGAACTATTGTGCACTAGATAAAATAAGTACTTGAGAAAATACACCTGAGAGGACAAAACACAAGACATATGTTGGTAAACACTACCAGATCTAAAAGATGAAGAGGAAAAAAATCCCCTAGGCCTCCAGGCAAAATGATCAAATTAATTGGAAACGCAAAGAAATTAGACTAGCATCAGACTCTTCAAAACAACATACAAAACAGGGCAATAATGGAGCTATATTTTCAAACAATTCAATAATAATAAATTTTTTTCAAAAAACAAAGAAAAAGTTATGAACCAAGAATTTTATACCCAGCAACACTGGCTTTTGCATATCAGGTCTATAGAAAAAGCTGTAAACATACAAGAACATGGGGAATTTCACATTAAAGAGCTCTTTTTGATTTCACCAAAGCATCTTATTCAAGCACAAGATAACCCAGCACACATTAATGATGACTAACACATTAATGTATGAAATTATAGATTTGAGACTAAAAGAAAGCACAAATAATGGAACAAGAAATGGAAGGAGAGGGAGTAGAAGTGAAAAATGAAATACACACATTGGTTACTGTATACAAGATAGGTAATAGTTAAAGACCACCTTTCAAACAAACTAGTAAGTTAATCAAGAAAACAGTGAAATGAGAGCTTTAAAAAGCTGTAAATACAAAAGTTACCGTTAAAACAAAACTATGAACCTTTTAGAAAGGCAAAAAATAATTTAAAAGCAATATAAAAACAAAATAAGAGGGAGGAGCAAAAGGAGATTGAAGAAAAGAATAGCAGTAACTCTCCAAACAGAAAACCGACCACTGTCTGGAAGGTAGGACATGCAGAGAAGTGAATCTGAGGCGCTATTCGGGAGGATAGATGGCTGGGGAGGCGGCCTCCATTGGCCTCTACTGGCAAGTGATAGAGCAGCGGAGCACAAAATCGGAATTTTAGAAGTCGGCGCTGCTGAGGGACGTCGCTCCAGTGGCTAAGCGGGGGGTGGAAACCTCACTGGGGCAGTGTGGTCTCAGGACCCTCGGGGTCACAGAGAGACCAGCGGTGCCTGAGTGCGGCAGAGCTCCCAGGTATCAGAGCAGGGAAGCTGCTGCAGAGACGGAGCCGAGGAGTGAGCTCTCAGCTCGGGGTTGCCATAAACCGTGATCCGCGGCACAGTCGGGCCACTGCTCCTCCAGCAGGGACCCAACAAGCGGCAGATCCAGGGAGACTCCCCTTCCTCCCCCGGGAGGAGCGGCACGGTAGCGCAATGCAGAGATCTGCAGGGTTTGGAGACTCCACACAGGGTCGGGTGCCAGACAAAGAAACGCTCAATCACAGGCCAGGCGGGTGAGCACAGAGTGCGGCTGGAGACCGGGGAGACAGGAGTGACTGGCTGCTTTTCTCTGGTGGCTCACTGAGGAGTGGGGCCCCGAGATCTCAGCTCCTCCGAGGCAGAGATTGGGAAGCCGCCATTTTCACTCCCATCCTCCAAAGCTGTGCGGAAAGCTTGCAGGGAACAAAAGCTTCTGAGAGCAAACCCAAGCAGATTACTTAGCCCGGACCCAGCAAGGGTGGGGCAATTCTGCCTCTAGCAAAGACATTAGGGAACCACGGCAACAGGCCCCTCCCCCAGAAGATCAGCAAGAACAGCCAGCAAAGACCAAGTTTCCCAATGAATGAGAATGGCAGAATTCAAGCACTACAGGAATACTGCACATAGAATTCATGGCTTTTTCCCCATGATTCTCTAGTCTTTCAACATTAATTTTTTTTTAACTTTCTTTTTCTTTTTTTTTTTTGTTTTTCAATTTTTCTTTTTCCCTTTTTCAACCAACATCTTATCAATCGCTTGTTTACAAAATCTTTTTTATTTTTCATTTTTAGAGTCATATTCTATCCTTCATAGTAGTTAACCTTATTTATATATATCCATATATATATATATATGTATATATATATGTATATATATATATGTTTTTCTCTCTTTAAAATTTTGGGATACAGTTTCTTCTAATAGACCAAAATATACCCTAAATCTCTAGTGCATGCCTTTGTTCTAGTCTCCTGCCTGATCACATTCTCTCCCTTTTTTTTTTAAATCCTCTTCTTTCTTTTTTCAACCAAATTCTTATCTTATCAATTCCTTTTATAAAATCATTTATAATTTTCATCTTTATACTCATATTCCATCCGTTCACCATACTAACCCTTATTTTTGTACAATTTTGTACAAGAAAGATTTTCTTTCTTTAAAATTTTGGAAGGCACTTTCTTCTAACAGACCAACTGCATTCGGCTCAGGTCATGATCCCAGAGTCCTGGGATCAAGTCCTGCCTCGGGCTCCCTGCTCCTTGGGAGCGTTCTTCTGTCTCTCTCTCTCTCTCTCTCTGTC